CATTTAGGCTTAGGAGTGCCCAGAATGGAAACACTATCTAAAAAATGCGGCGATGTCATTGCCCATGCTTTGCGGTTTAAAGGCCGACGACCAGACTCGAGATTCTGCAAGGCAGAAGACCCTCCTCTCCACGCCTTCGGGGGAGGGAAGCGAAGGATGGAAAGAAGGGACCAAGAGGGGCGGGCATGGGTGGAAAGGGTAGGAGGGAGAGGAGGAAGCGGGTGAAAAGTGGAAAGCGCGAACTGGTCGTCGGTCTTTAAGTGAGGTAGTGCAAAGCGAAAGCCTCCTGCACCATTTGTTGCTGGCTAATGCGCCCGATATTGCAACCACAACGACATATTAGTTCCAAAGCGAGCGGCGCTCACTCACTGGGGCACCGCCATGTTTCCCCGCATCCCTACCGAGCCCAGTCACGTGATCTCAAAATCCCTCTCCTAGGTACTGCGGCTAACTTTAGCCGCGGTTAGTGTTTCGAGCAAACGGGCCCTGACTGCTTACAGGACGTCTGATGGTGGGAAAAGAATGTTTGGAATTCACTGAGAAGCATGGAAAAACACTTGACATACTCTGTTTAAGACTGCCTGTGCGACCTGAAAGTTTGTACCATTTCTGACGCCACACCATTGGAGAGTGTGCGGAAATTTGAATTTTGGTTTCGGCATCATCTTGCTTTACGGTTTTCTCAATGGCTATTTTGAATTTCGAGACAATAAATAGCACATTGTGAAGACTAAAGTCCAGGTATTCAGGAAATGCAATTTGTTTGGGCAGCTCAAAAAATGGCCGGAGTACCCCTTTAAAGGGACCATGAAATTACCTTTTACTTTTGCTAAATAACTTTTGCATTAAACCTTCAATGTTCACTGAATGCCGAACAGGCATCCGTCTTCGTTTGGGTTTATTAACTTCTACACAAAAAATTAATGAAATCTAGACTTTTTCTTCCTCTCCAACTGACCGCAAAACAAGCCGTGGCGTAATTTTGACAATCCTGACGTCCTTCAGCATCGGAACCGGAAGTTTTCACGGTAGTAGAAGAATGGAAGCGTTAGCGGCGGCGAGTCGGCGGTGTGCCGGAAAGTTTTACTGCGCTGATGGCACTGATGCCACCAACATATTTTTTTAATCGGCGCCTCTCATCACCGGGATAGCCATGGACACATCGCAGCTGAGCAAAATTCAATTAGATATGTTGTGCTACAGCAACAGCATGGGGCTCATCCCATATGCCGGAATGCCTGTTGGGAAGTGCGGCGAGTCTTCCGACAACGACTCCAGTTCTTCATCGGAATCGACGCAGGGATTTTGGAACCTGCCCGCATTCACGGAGAACACTGTGAATGTGGCTGTAATCATGCTCGGTGTAAAAATGTTCCGAGCATACACGAATGACCTTAAAACTGGGGTCCCTTACACCAATGAGCATGCCCCAAGTGCTTCGACGTGGTTCATCGAGTGGAAAGCGGTGAAACTGCAACTCTTTCTTTTTAACCACCGGACTGCAGAAACTGTAATTCGGGCACTTCGGTACGCTGCAGCCTTTCGGCATAGCGACCGAGCTATCGATCACAAACAATGTAAACACTACTCGAGCAGCCAAAAAACGAAAGTCTGCTCTGCGAAGAAAGCGCGACCAGGAGCAAACCCAATCAGCAGACGCCGCTCATGGGTTGATTGCGCAGGCGCAGTAGGGTCTTTCTCTTGCTTCGTTTGCCACACGATAGATGGAGCTTGGCTCTCAGCATTAAAGGGAAGCTACGGAGCTTCTTGGAAAAAATGAGTTAGAAGTGAATTCTAGTGTATTTTTACCCCGTGAACCCGAATACCCAAACCATTTGCTGCGTAACTATTGTTAAACGCGAGAAAAACGCGAAAGACAGTCGCTGTCCGTGACGTCATCGACGGCTCTTTTGGCTGCCCAAGGCTAGGGAGGCGGGGCTTCAGTCCTATTTTGAAATTGCTGGTATGGCTCTCCGGCGCGTCGCATTGAAATACAATTTTGATATCTGTTAATCTGAAGGCCAAATGAACGGAATTCAAGCGTTTTTTCTCAAATGTAGAAGTGCCCCATCTTCCCTTTAAGAAATTCAGCAATTTTCGTCACATCTCTAATTATGCAAAAAAATGTGGATTTGAATATTATTTAAAGGGGTCATGAAACGCTGTTCCAACTTTTTCCTGTTTAGCTTTCCTCCTCAACTCATAAATCGCGCATTCCGCCAAACAGTGCAAGAAGACGAATAGAGGGGAGGCCCCTCTTGCTCGGAATCTGGTTTGTGTACCCGGACAGAGCCATTGTCCCCCTAGAAGATTAGCCCGTCGCTCACAATTCAGACAAAAGTTGCTTTCCCCAACCTGCTCACCCCGAAGCTGACAGTCCTGTGGAACCTACGTGCTCGTTGGGCCAGCCAGACCTGTCACGTGATCACACTCTCTCGCGCATACCCACGCGCAGAGAATGAGGTCAGGTGATAAAAGAAAGGCGGCTGATTGGTCGGGCAAGCGTGTAGCTTCCACCACAATGTCAGCTTAGGGATGAAAGGAAGAAGTGAGGTCCGGTTTTCTGTGACGTGCGTTTGGACCCAATGACGCGCTTTTGGGACTGCGGATGTATCACAGTGAAAAGGCAGAGAGCTTGCAAAGGGGAGGAGGTACGAAATAGTCCGCTGTGTTTTCACATTTTCGCACTGAAAGTCAGGCTTTTGACTTTCTACCTTCTTTTCTTTGGGCCCACTGAACGATGTGCTATTAGTAAAATCCCAATTTAAACGGATTTATCCCAACGCAAAATTTGTTTCATGGGCCCTTTAACAAAACTTTTAGGAAACATTCGCCGGCTATTTATTATTTATGATCGCGGTGTGCTGGTAAGGTAGGCTCTTACCCAATAAGCGATGTGGATTTGGCTGACGTGCTGCAGTTCCGCGGATGCATCGCAGTGAAAAGGCAAATAGCTTTCAAAGGAAAGAAGGTGTAAAAAATTACACCATCTTCCCTAGGGGAACCATGGGTGATGCAGAGCATCGCGGATCGTTATTAACGGTGTTATTAATGGTGTTAGTAACGTTGTTAGTAACGTTGTTAACTTGCGTGTTATTACGTTGTTAACTTGCGTGTTATTACGTTGTTAACTTGCGTTGGTTACCACACACCGCTTTTCTTTTAAAAGTTTAATAGGAAAGAATTTTTTTGGCCCTCCCTTTTTGGGTTTCTTTTCACACCTTTTACGACGTGCGGCGGATAAAGTTTAATTTCAAAATCGTTTCATGATCCTTTTAAAGGAAACACCGGAGCGCGTGGTTGTTGCCCCCGGAAGCTCGGCGCAGACGCGGCGTGTACCAGAAGAGGCGGTGCACGCTGCACCTCGCAGGGTTCAGCACCGCTTTTTCACTCGCTGCGCCTGCGCCGTAGAGCGCAGTAGCAGACGATGCGCAGCTAGTACCGCTTCGATGCTCACTGCGCCTGCGCCAAGCTTCCGCGAGCGGCCACGCATCTTGGTGTTCCCTTTAGGAGTAGACCCCTCTGGACAGTGCCATACCTTAATTTGTGCGTTGCTATTGTTGTTTATATTATTTTTCTGTTCAAGCAACTCCCCTCTGCAATGCCACAGGCCCTGAGGGTATATAATAAAGGCTAACTATAAATATTACTTTAAAAGCTCCAGCCCATGCTCAAAGAGTCCCTCAGGTCGGACACTGATAGCATCCTCGATCATCCGCACCGGTGCGCACCGGGGCACTGAGGTGCGCCCCTTCATCTTCGATCAAGTGCACCGGTGCGCACCGTACGTCCTCGATCAACGAAGCGCACCCTCCCGGTGCGGCTTTTCGTTGCCCCAACGTGCACCAAGAAAATCGACGGTGCGCCGGGGTGCAGTCCCATCAGGCATTGCGGCCGGGAGCGGGAATCGAGAAGATGGCGGGAGTAGCAGACGCGCAGACTATCGAGATGGCGATCTTGCAAAAACGAACACGCCTCGCAGCTGCACTAGATGATTTCCTCGGGTCTTCTGACGGCGAGACGACGAGCTTCTCACCATCGCCGCGATTACTGGCGATTGCTGCGGTGGCAAGGAGCGCCCGAAAAGCACGAACTTCGTGGAAAGCGGCGCGAGGCGTTTCGATGACAGCGAGGTACGGTATTATCTGGCGTTTCGTTTTCTTGAACTAATAATGATGGCCAACATATACATGTGGAATTGTCACCCGCTTCGTGAACCCATCGACAATCACGTCCACGATGTTTATTTCTGTGGGACCGTCAAATCCGCGAGTAAAAAAATAAAAGAAGTTGACAGCAGACGGGCATCGTGCGCTGACCTACGCAAAATAAACGAACAAAACGCGAAGTGACGCAAGGTGGAGCTCGCCGCGGTGCACCGGCTATGTATGATCTCTATGGCACCGGCGCGGCGCAGTTTGTCCTCGATGTTGCACCGACATCGCGCTGCACGACCGAGGAGCGCTGTGCACTGTGCTGGTTTCAGGGCGATTCCGGTGCGAGTTGATCGAAGATGCTATGAGGGAAACACTTTTGGAAAATGACAGAAATAAGAAGACACTACAACAAGCAACAATTCAATTACTGAGATTTTTTTTTGTTAAATAAAATTTAAGACCATAGAAGCTTTTAATGTTCCTCTCCCATTTTCAAGAAAAAGACCAGAGAGCTCCCTATGGCTAGTGATATCGTTGTTTGCATAGCAAAAGTGGATATTAGAGTAAGAAGTAAAAAAGTTAGAGCGTCCTTATCAGTTGTGTCTAGTATTGTTTTAAACAGACCTAATAACGTATGAGATACTGGATATTTTGATAGAATTTCACACTTTAATTTTGACAATCTCCCGAAGCAGCTGTTTCCTCTACCTCCCTTGCCCCCCCCCCCCCCCCCCTCCCCCCTTTTTCTGCTGGAAATAATTAAAAAATAAATAAACAAGTAAATGATTTGTGGTTTAGAGCAGAAAACCCACAGCACAGGATGCAACTCGGACGGCCACTCGCCTGTGTGTACATGATGATCTTGTCGGCGGTGGTGTACAGCAGGGTGGCCTTGGTGAAGAGCTCATGCTTGCGGTCTTTGCTCTTCTCGCGGCTGGCCTTGTGCACGTAGTAGGCTGCCAGCGTGTCCAGGCATGTCATCTGGTCCTGCTCAAAGTCCCCGTAGTCCAGGCGGGCCTCCGTGCGCCCCGCCTCCAGCAGCCGCACAAAGTCCTCCACCTTGCCCTGGCGGTAGTACTCCAGCTGCATGCGGAAACCGTCCGTCGGACCTCATCCGGAAGGGCACACAAATGCAGCGCTCCGTGCTCCCCTAAGCTTAATCAGTGTAGTGGGAGCTACACGCTAGTGAGACCTGACCCAGAAGGACACAGAAATACATAGGCCCGATTGGCCCCCAGGGCCCGTTTGCGCGAAGCCGGTTAACTCTAACCGCGGTTAAAAGTTAACCGCCCTTCCCTACTAGGTACCTACAAGTACCTAGCCAAGTTTGACGAGGGCTGGATGAGCCATAGCTCCGTGTTTTATTATGGGTTGGTAGCTGGTGCCACCTACAGGCTGTAGCGAATATACGTGGCTTCCGTGGAAAGGTTCCCGAAATGGGGGGACCCAAAAAATGCGCGCTGCCTGGTTTTCGCGACGCAGCGCGGCATACATTTGAGCTTAAGAAACAATTTTTATTGCCCGTGGTACAAATAATCGGCAAGGTAAAACTAAATTACCCCCTGTTTGGAAATTTTCTAAATATTTGGCTGTACGAAGTGAAGAAAAGCCTCGGTGAAATTTCCTTCCGAGTTCGAAAGAGGACGACGAAGTTGAGTCCTAGAAACAATGAGAAAGAAGTGAGCAGTGAAAGGTGCGCGGTACACCGGCAGCATGGTTGGCCAGCATGTAAGAACTGTATATAACACCGTCATAAATTGAAAAACCTGTAACTCGGCTCCACTGAAAATTGACCTATTAGTAAATTACCCGAACATCAAGAAGAACGCTGGAAGTGAAATTCTACGATCTGCGCGCGCTGGCCTTGTAAATAATCATAATAAATCTTTGACGAACGCGCGTGCACGGCAAAATTTGTTTTAGGCTTTTGGCTTCAGAACAGTTATTACTGCAGACGCGAGCAGGTGCAGCGCGTGTAACTACACTCGTAGCATGCACCTCGGTGCTTTTGAAATTTAGGAAAAGGTCTATAAGAACGCTGTCTGCTCTTGTGTGCTATCAATACCCGGCCGATTGAATCAAGGCAATCCACTTTCCAAAGACGTTGCCATGCCGACAACTATTGCATTCATTTAGGCTTAGGAATGGCCAGAGTCGAAAGTCTATCTAAAAAATGCGGCGAGGTCATTGCTCATGTTCTGCGTTTTAAGTGAGGTAAGGCAACGCGAAGACCTCCTGCACCATTCATTGCTGACTAATGCGCCCGCTACTGCAGCTACTACGACGTATTAGTTCCAAAGCGAGTGGCGCTCACTCACCGGGGCACCGCCATGTTTCCCTGCCGTCCTTATACTGCCGGTCACGTGACCCAAAATTCCCCCTTGTAGGGAAATCCGGTTAACCGCGGTTAGTTAACCAGCTTCGAGCAAACGGGCCCAGGTGACGGTCCCAGTGATGTGATTGGCCTAAGCCATTTTGGAGCACCTTTTGGAGCAGCCAAAACAGTGTTTTGGAGCAGCGAAAGTGGCTTTTGGAGCAGATATTCTAAGCTAAAAATATTTGTTTTAAGTGGCGGACAAACGAAAGGCACTTCGTGCTGTGTTCTGACAGAACTCGCTGTTTATGTTTTTACGGCTAAGACATCCCACAAGTGTATTGTAGGCGTTGCCGAGCAATTCCAAAAAGAACGCATGCTACCGTTTTACTGGTTCCCGACGTGCCAGATTTTCATCAAAAGTAAGCAAACTTAAAACAATGGATTGCAAGCGTCCCGCTGGTGCCTCTGTCGTAGTCGTAGTATGTAAAATGCAACTGTCCAGCATGCGACAAAAAAAAAAAAAATAAAACAGTCCAGCGGCGCGTGCTTGCCAGGGCGGGAGGCAAGACAAAGCTGAACACACAGAAAAAAAGAAAAAGAACCTGAGCGCATCGATGCAGGACATCGCGAGCCAGGGTCAAAAAGTTCTTGGAGCACTTTGTGCAACGACTGAACTCGAGACAAACAAGCGCGCTGTGCGGGTTCAGCGTGCAGACATTGCCTTCTTTGTTTTAGCTCACTTCTCTTCAGCAACTTTCTTTCACGGCATATTTTTCACGTACCGGGGTTCTTTCGAAAGAAAGCCTACCGAGAAAAACCTAGGTAATCAATATTTCGACAAGCAGTCATTAAGTTAAAGAGGGATTTTTGTATTAGAGTATGATTTAAACAAAGACAGGAATGTCGATGAATAAGTTTAGGAAGCGCCATATCTGCAGCGACGTGGGGACGGCAACACCCGATGTCGCGCGACCACAGTAATTGTGGTAGCGCGAGCGTTTCAGCTCACAAAGTAACTCTCGCCGCGCAAAAACATGGTTTTGTTTCACAGCATGACGACATTGCTGGCACCCGGCACACTAGCGTCGGAGCGTCCGCACACGCCCGCGTCTATCGTTGAAAAAATTAGAAAAAAGACGCGAGACGAGATTCCCGAAATGACGAGAGCGCGAAACGCGAGACGGCGGGAAAAACTATACAACGGGGGACCGGATGGACGATTCACGCAGGGTATCTTTGTGTCAGGAGCCGCTTGCGCCACCTAGCTCACGCATGCCTAATAGACCGATCTCACCAAGCGTTCCGCGCATGCGTGACGCCGCCATAACTATAGTTCGTAGGAGGCAGACGCCAGTTCACGAGACAGCTCATGCCGCCTCGTGCTCTGCTCGCGCAGACCTCCAGCAGGGTTATCGCGCGTGCAGAAAGACTACAGCTCCCACGATGCACGTCGGCAGCGGTGGCATACTCAAACTAGCTGGTGAGATCGGTCTATTGCGGTTTTCAGTTTAGTTTCGGTTTTGAAAGGCGACCGAAATCGGTCCTTTGGCGCAGGCTTGGCGCAGATTACCCATATTTTGGCAAAATGTAGCAGGATGTAGCAGGGTTAGCCCATAGGCGCAGTTTGGCGCAATTGGCGCAGCAATCACATCACTGCGGTCCGTTACAAGCTACACGCTTGTGAGACCTCACTCAGAGAACACAGAAATACAATGCTTCAAACACACCCCTAAGCTGACATTGCGGTGGGAGCGACGTGCTAGTGAGACCTCACTGAGAAAGACGCAAAAATACAACACACCATTCACCTTCAAGTAGACAGTCTGTTGGAAACTATGCGCTATAGTTAGATCAGCCATACGTCCATTTTTCCCCAATGCGATTGTGCTTTTGCCCGTACCCACGCGTGCTCGGAGATGCCACCAATGACACCATAATGCCTTTGGCAGATAACGGGTGACAGAGAGGCTACTCAGACGCCTGCAGAAATTTCTGTACGTTTTACAGAAAATAAAATTGGCCTGAATATATTTTTGGGTAATTTAGGTGTGCTAAAATGATAACAAAAACAATATTAATCCTCCTCAACATCTTGTTCATCACCATCATCTCCTTCACTTCAAATCCGATATGATGAACCAAGACAAAAGCGTGCATCAGCCTCCTGACAGAGGTTCAGCCACTCTTACACGAGACAATACCCAAAACAAGCGTCAAAACACTGAACATTAAAACTCACTAAAATAAAATTCATACAAAAAAAAAAAGAATTCAACGAAGAAAAATGCAATCTAAAGGCCAGTTTCACTCATACATTACAGAGCTAAATCAACAGTGGAACAGTGCTGATGCAGCATAGACCTTAACTCAACTTAGGATCCATGTGCCGCTGTAAGGCGAGAAGTTAGCGCCGCATTAGCAAGACACAGACACAGCACCGCATTCAGCGCTGTGTCTGTGTCCCTCCTTCTACTTGTCCTTGTGTTTGTTTGCGCTGTTTTATTTCTATGTTTACAACGCATTAGCAAGGTCGGGACAAGTTCCGGCACAGGCGAATAGTGTTGAGGCAGTGCCGCGGTGCATGCGTGGACAAGCCATAATCGTCCAGACCACTACCATTTCCAAGTCACCGAAAATAACCAATAACAAGCTAACTACGCCGCTGAAATTAATACATAGAACTTTAGAGGTTGGTGAACCTAAATCACCATAGACCCCACCAAAAAAAAAAAAAAAAGAAAAAAGAGCAACACTAGCGGTCGTCATTTCTTCCAGGGCACAAAGCGTTTCCCGTACAAGCCAGGCAGAGCTCACGCTGACCGCCGATATAGCCTTTGCGTCCGAAGCGCGATCGGCTTCTGCGTCCAAACAATGCCGGTCTTGGATAATTCGCGCAGTGGCTACTAGATAGTGTGCACTTTTGAAAAGCGTCCATTGCAACGACGAGTGCCGTACGTACCGCCAGGCTGACCCACAGGTGGAGCTGGGCCTGTTCCTGCCGTAGGATGCCGAGCACCTCATCCCCATCGGGCAGCTGGTCAAAGTCCAGCTCAATGACCTAAAACAAGCACGCGCAACCAGTTTTGAAAACTATGAATGAGCGCACACTGCGACATGGTATGTTCGAATGGAACGCCAATGCTTTGTCCTCACGGTCAATATTCGACGCCAGACATTACCACACAAATTCGTGCCACGAGCAAGAAAGCTCAATCGAGCTTGTACTACACTGAGCGATATCGTCAATGTGAGCAACAACATTGACACTTTCCCTTTGCTGATGACAATTTTTGCCGCTTTGGTTAGTGCCTCGATTGAGAACTTCAAACCATTCTATCAGTTTTGAATAGCCTTTTGATTCGAAGAGAAATACAGAAAAAACACGATTACTCGTTCGTGCTAACAGTGTTGTGCAATGTACGTTCAATAAACCTTAAAACAAAACAAAAATTTTAAATTGTTGATCCTGTGTTTGTATGAGGTACGTCACACTCTGGTTGTACGATTGGAACCGGAAATACCATTTTGCACATTACGTTAGCAGTACACCGGACTTCACTACAAGCCTGGCCTGGAAAGGGAACAATTTCTTATATAGTCAGCTGTCATAAAATTTTTAGATCGCTGTACATGCCGTCCGTATTAGCAAACGACGTGTGAACAGAAGTGTAGCACGAACGGGTCATTATTCGTAGATACTAAGTACAGACAAGTTAGTTTGGAACATGAGAGGGTATGGCCCTTTCATACTACGTCCCACCTTAATATGGATCAACAGCAAGGCTACAAGCAAGAGGGTAGATTTGATTGGTGATCTCGCTGCACGAGCGATCGCACAGCCGAGGTGCGATGAAACCAAAGGAGCTCGCGCTTGCAGCTTTCGCGATTATTCCACGTTAAATGAAGACAAAGTATGACGAAAACGGTTACACACCAGAGGAACGGGGAACGGTATCTTTGCCGTGGTCGAAAACGTGAAGGTCTTATGACGACAGCAGTTAGCAATCTAGGGGTGACTGAGCGCGGAAAAAACGTTATCTAGAAGCCTAGTAACTCCCACTGACAATCATCATACGTGATGAATCCAAAAACCTGACTGACAATCATTTAAAAGAAAAAAAAAGAAGCAAACTGCAGAAGAGAATCGATTGGTCGAACGCTTGACTAGCTTCCGGGGACCAAGCTAGCCATACACACCTGGCAGGCGAAAACCAATCGATGTAAGGGATTAGAATGAATCAAGACAAACTCACCTCATCTGTGTCTCGCAGTGGGATCTCTATGGACCCGGGCATCTTTGTATTATTTCGTAGCCGCTCTGAAAAAGGGCCACATGTCACGCAGTTCAATAACAACGGGCGGCCATCTTGAAAGAATCTGCGCGACGCCAACTACCAATGTAGCTGAGACAGGAGTTGATCCACCGGCTAAATATGGTGAAATTGAAACCGAAACCGAAACTGCAAGTGTAAAGGGTGAACAAAGCGTAATAAAAAAAAAAAAAAAAAATAGAAAAGGAAAAGTTTTAGATGTACGAAAATATATTGCGATTTCCAAATCTTTACCACAATGTGCTAGAATACTAAAGTGTTATGAGCAAAAGTCGTGCAGCCTGATCGATTCAATATTATGACAGCTACAAACGGTGCTTTGCGGGATCCTAATATGGTACATACTAGCTTTGAATACTGCTGAATCAAGGCTAAAGTCGTCCTATGCTTCAATGTGCACATATATCTCCGACACCACCGTTCGTTACCCCGAAGAATAATGTTGCACTATTATCGATTTGTATGTTGCGCAACCATGATCATGCCGTGGTCATAAGACCGCGGTAAAAAATTTCAATCAGAAGAAACCCGGCAATGACTCAAGAGCATCTTCCGGCGACTTCAAGGGCAGACCCCATTGTCCGCTGTCTTTTTTCTTTCTTTTTTGAAACGCCTTTCAAGGTTGTCTGCAGCTGCACTAATTGAACGAGCGGAAACAGTTTTCGCCATAACTTGGTACTGCACACACGTAATAGGAATAATCACTCATTAACGAGCCTGCTTCCTGGTTATTGCGAAAAAAAGCCGGAAGAATGGTAGCAGACAACCGCGAATAGCAGCACGGTTCTTGGTTTACCCAGGGCCCATGGGTTTACCCAACTGAAAGGACAGGCCTTTTCTGCTTGGATGCGTTCTCTTGAACTTCATAAGATCAGAATATTTTCAAATAAATTAATAAATAAAAAAAGTAAAGTATGAAAATTAAGCCTGAAATAAAGGTGTCCCTTAATTAGTATTTTCATTGCTTCCATAGATGCCTTCTGGCATAAGACGTATGGATCATACACTTGAACAAGGGTAAGAAGCTTTTCCAGAGATCCCTACCCACCCACCCCCCCCCCCCCCCCCCCCCGCGCAAACCCCAGCCCAAGGTTGCATCTGAAACCCCCAGAATTTTTTACGCAAAGTACGTACAAACCTACTATACCGCAACCTCCCCCCCCCCCTTATTTTTTAAAAATTTTTCATTTATTATCCATCACATAAAAGGGGGGGGGGGGGGGGGGGGTACAAGAAAGAAAATACATGTTCAACATTGGCACACACAAAAAACAGCAATCATCCAAGATTATTTCCACACGACGAATTGCAGCGTGCTGGTAAGTTACAAAAATAAAAAGAAAGCAACAAGCTCTTTTTTCTCGCATCTTTATTTCTATTTTTGTTTTGTTCTCTTTATTATTTAATTTCTTAACAAAGTTTGGTCAGAAAAGGCGTGAAGCTAACAATGTGGCATGCTTGCAAATGCAGGTGTTTCTTCCAATGCAGCAGTTGATGAAAGGGAAGCGGTTGATTGGTCCTGGCCAGTGTTGGGTAAAGTACATCTAAAAGGTACTTCCAATAAAGTACAAAGTAAAGGAGACGTGATGTACCTGAAGTAAAGTACTATAAATACAATGTACTCTCAAGTAAAGTACAAGCATTTCAACACAATATTTAATACTGCCCTTTCATTCCTATATACAGTGATTTTTTAACTGGCATGCATTGCCCAGGTGTAATCAGGGGTGCATGACCTATATTTTCAAAAACAGCGGTGAATATTTGATAAAGTCAAGTGGCGACAGAGTGGTTATTTTCAGGAATGGAGCCAAATTAAGAAGTCCACCTTCTGAATTTGGCGCCCCTTGCAGGGGATTGTTGCACCCAATAGAGCATGACGTCAGCCCCGTAGTTTCCGCAGGCAATCCTCTCATAGAGGAGTGCCCTTAATAAAAAAAAAAAAAAAAAACAGTGAATGTGCAAGCGAGCTGGTAATAATTAATCATACCTGTGATTGGGGTGTGAAAAAATTAAGGAACTTTCAAACAGGAGGAAAAGATAAAAGAGAATGTTTTAAAACATTGTGACGTTCTCCTCTGTTGTCTTTTACTTCGACTTAAAATTTAATTTGTCCGTACTACAGTCTCTACATTTAAATTAATTTTGTTCTCCTGATATCTTAAACCTCCTGGCTTGCGCTGACCGACCGAGAAGTAGCGAGAGTTCAAAAAGCTACGGGAAAGCCGCCCCCAGAACAAACGGAGCGATGCGTCGTCTGCTCACGTTTCTGGTGAGAGTAGAATATCCCGGCCAGTATTTCCTCGGAGTTGACCAAGCATCATTTCGTGATACTAATTTAACAAATTCAAATTTGAGGAATGTACTTTGAAGTCGGGAATTGTACTTTCCTCGGAAAGTACCAGAAAAAAAGAAGAAAACTTTAAGTAAAGTACAAGTACATACTCGGAGAATGTACTTCACGTAAAGTACAAGTTTCCTAAACCTACTTGAAGTAGTACTTTAAGTACAATATACTTAAAGCATTTCCCAACACTGGTCCTGGCAAGCTCGTGGCTTCCACTGCACTGTCAGCTTGGGCGTGAACGGAGCAGTATACGGCGTGCTTGCAATCTTGTATGGTACGCGAACATTCCGCAGAATAGCTTTCGCAACAATCGCGACAGTCTGCCTTGATCACGACTCAGATGACCTGGACTGTCAGCCTAAACAAACGCCGTTCCGTGATTGCAATGGCGTGGTGCTCCGACGTGTTCCTGAGTTGTGACCTTAGCTGCTGCCAGGTCATAACTCAGGAACCACAGGCGGGAAACAGCTACATTTCTAGGAGCAGTCTTTACACCCAGTACTTAAAATGTCGAACTAAGGTTTTGTGAGCGTTTCTGTATCTGGTGCCTAAAACACTGAATGCAGAAAAAGAAAAAAAGGAAAAAAAAAGGCATCTCCAGTTTTAGCACAATGCATCACGCTAAGACTTTGGATAAACTCATTGAAGCAGAAAATGTTCCTGTGCAAATAAATTAAAACAATAAAGCAGAAACATCCAGGTTGATAACCCGAGGGTCAGAACGATGTGGAAGCCCTCTTAACTAATCTGTGCAAAATAATAATAATAATAAGAAGAATTAGTTTTTAGTTGTTTATACAGCCTGAACTTAGTCTGCCTCAATGAGCGACTCGTCTCTCAGCTGTAGATGAGCAACGCGATCGCACGCCGGTACGATGCACATTCATTTCGGAAAGGGCAGAGGTGGGGATACGTGCACATGTTTTGTCAAGAAACATTAGAAACGAAAAAAAAAAACAAAAAAACATGAAGGTGACTGAGAACTCCCTCCCTCCCCTCTCTCCCTCTCTCTCTCTCTCTCTCTCCCCCCCCCCCCCCCCCCCCCCCCCCCCAAGGAGCTCTCCCATTTCTTTTCAAACTGTGTAAGTGTAGCGTCAAATGTAAACGAACTTTACTGGGTTGCAAAATACTATCAAATTAAAACAAAAGGAAAAAAGTTTATCACCCGCATTTCGTATCGCGATATATGTTGGCAGGGGATATTTATGTTAAGCGATATTTCTTAGGCGTAATAAATTTATTACACGCAAATATTCGGTATCAAATCTCAAAAATATCTGATCCCGGCTTTTTTTTCTTTGTTGTTGTTGTTGTTGTTGTGGTTGTCGTTAGTCATTTTTGTGGTTCTTTTAAGCTCAAATATATTGCATTTACTTCTAACCAAATTGTGCCCGCGAGCGAAAAGGGACGCGTAAGATTCGAATATATTTTAAATAACGCCATCGTGAGTGATAAATAATTTACTATAATTCGAGAGTGCCATAGTGCCCCAAATTAAAATTTCACTGGTCAAACGGCCATCTCGAGCCATATACCTTCCTTGCCCTCTTCCGTACTAAAGAACAGCAGCTGCGAACCTGTCAACCGCACCACACTCCGAGGCATCGCATGGTCACGTGCTCTGGCGGCGAGAGGAAGGGTAAGAGGCGTCGCCAAATAAACCACTCCACCAGGGGAGGATTCGGCGCTGCCGTCGTTCTGTCTAATGTAAATTAGGAGAATGTCCTGTATTCCCCATAGTAAAGTATTTGGTACACCGTACACCGATTGTCGGTGAAGTATGCCTGCAAGGCTTTCCTACGAGACTTTCACTTTCATCTCAGGCAACCTTTTTGTCTTTATAATAAGCCAATTTGTGTTTCTCCAGATACAGTGCGGCGAAGTAGGAGCAGCTTCAGCATAAAAGAAAACAGTCGAACTTGTTATACGTTCGGAGATTGTGGGAGCAGTTCAAGCGACCCGCGGCATGTTAATTCACCTTATTACCGTCATTTTGTTTTTACATTTGAACGCAACCGACTAACTAGAAAGGGCGCGCTTGAAAAGAAGCGCTGTGACAGAATGTTTCTCCGGTCACCGAAATGCTGTTCTTGTCATACCAACGCGAAATTAGATTGGTCATTGTTGTGGCGGTGGGACCTCGATTCTCTTAAAAAAGTTCATCAAGCTCCTTTTCGGTTGGTCATTAAAGGTATGCGAACAATGACGAAGCACAATCGCAGTTGGCAACAACAGGCATCGAACTTCTTTTCGAACTTTCCGAGTTCTCCCGCGTCGTCGGAACCCTCGAACTTGCAACTTCCACTCCGCAGGTGGCGCCACGCGACGTCTCTGAGGTTATTTTATCTTGTTTCGGTTTCGCCGGTGCTCGCCGCGTCTGGCCGGGTGCGAACGAGAAATTCGTGCGCCAGCTTTTCTTCGCGCAGTTGCTTCTCCGCGGTCGTCGTACGAACAACCAACCCTTTTGTCGGCCAACTGCCGCTCTCCCAAGTCGACATGGGCAACCCGCCGTTCCCTTTCTTCAAGAAGTTCGTCACCACAAATCAAGCCGTCAGAGAGTTCCTGGCGGAGTTCTTCGGCACCTTCATACTCTACGTGAGCGCTCTCTGTTTGTTTGCTTGTTTGTTTTCTTGTTTTTTACCGTAGTTATATGAATATTAAAATTACATACATATGGAGTAGTTTGTCATGCACTCCTTGCTCAAGCTCTTCAGCACTTCTATGCTGTTTTTTGCTGCACATGTACATTAGTAGGCAAGTAGCTATACAGTTATATATATAACACTTATATAATTATATATTGCGGTAATATACTAATATAGTTACATACTCATGTAGTTATTGATCAGCATGCCCGACCGGATATTGAGGCTTGCAGATCAGAATTCGGCGCCGCCAAAGATTTTGTCTTTCGGCGGCTTCAAGATCTTTGTTCGATATTCGATCAAGACTTGTACGCTTCATGTATCTGCATATTTTTGAGTACATATACGCATAGAGGTATATCGTTATATTATAAACGTTATATACTCATAGTTCTAGATTATAGCTATATACTCATATGGTTAAATAGTAATATATATATAGTAGTCATATTTTTTAATAATTTCCAAGTCGTAGCGCTTTAGGCTTTAGAGTTTGTCGATACATTCATGCTTTCGTTGAGCACCCTTTTGCTCTTAGTGCACACATCTAGTGCTCGTGACAGTTTGTTGTGAACTGTACGGGCCTGTAGGGTCATAATATTTATTCAAATTTTTATAAAAATATTTTATTGTGGCATCTACAATAAATTTTGACTAATTCTGTGCAAGCGAGACATTTTTTTAATATATTTTGTTCATCTGAGCATATTTTTAAACATTCTGCGCTGTCACCAATGTCTCAAGTATGAGAACACGGCGATATGTAGCATTATAATTATACCTTCAACGCTACCACTGTAACAATTGCATAGGGTGGATACAGTTGTCACTAAGGTGATGGTATAGCTAATATTTACACGTATACACGCGTTCAATTAATTAAAAAAAAGATTTGTCTTGGAATGAACGTTATTTTAATCGGGTATGCTATTACGGAACACATGCCAGAGTTTGTGAAAACATTCACGCGATTTTCTCACTCTTTGCGCATTACAGTAACTCCGGAGAAAAAAATAAATAAAAATATACGATCGTGAAATTATCGCAATGGGATTTTGCAAACTTTTGAATTAAAACCACACGCACACGACTCGTCACTATATAGTTATAATTTTTGGTGCGTTTTAATTAATTTTCGCAAATGTTTCTCACACATAATATTTCTCAATAATCAAGTGACTTTTTCTTTTTATTTAGTGTTAGCCATGCACTCATTGGCACTTCTTGTGCGTACTTCTTGCCCCTGATTTCGTCCCTTTGTGTTCTTATCGGCAGCAGAGCGATAATAAGAAGCAGTTTCATAGCCTCCCACAGGTCACGAACATTTATATATATACGAGGCTATGGCAGTACCCGTGGATTTTGAGTCGAGTCAGAAGGTGTCCTTATTTTCAAACAAGTTGTTCATTTCTAAGATATTTATTCAGGAACAAGTCCCAAAGTCTTAAAATAAAATTGTTAAAGGGACCCCTGGGTATAATAAAGGGCTAGTTAGCGATCATAAGTTAGCTCAGCCTTTGACATCACTTATACTAAATGAACATAGCAAATAAACAAATCCAGAAAGAGATATAAAACCAAATAAAAAGCAGAAAAAGAAAGAACATAATAGAATTCTAATCCAGAATCAAACCGAGAGAAAAAAAACTATCCACAAAGACTTTTTAGATATACCAAAGAGAGAGAGAGATGTACAGAAGGTACCCTAAATACAAATAAATGTGAAACAAATAATTATGATTCATTTATATTGAAGACGAAATACGGGACAAAGTTTACTGCACCATATATCCTTCCCGTTTCCCATTTTTGAAGCGCGCGTGCCACAACGTTTGGTGGATGTCACTAAACTGCTACTTTTTTTTTCTTTTTTTTTTGCGTTAACTACAGCCGACTATTTTCTACATCTGTCCCGCGCTCAGATCATTGACCATTCGATCCCAATGGAAATATGACGAAGCCTCCGCTTGCACAATTGTTGAAATCGTCTTTTTTTACGCCGGAAGAACCAACTGCAGGATCTGTATTGCCGCTGGCTGCAGCCTTTCTAAAAAATGCGGGGCGTGTGGCGGCTCCCGAGAAGCTTATTATGGATCCGCAGCCCATCAGATGGCGCTGTTAACCGATAAGAACGTCGAGGATCGAATTCCGAAGCGAAAAGCGTCAACATAACAATAAATAGAACTTCATGAATAAATACAAAATAAGAACAGAAACTCATTCTGTTTCTTCAGCTTTGAGCGACCATATGAGCCATCTAGTTACCCTTAATAAAAAATAAATAAAAAAGTTGTTGACAAAACACACACACACATCTCGCAATTTACGCTGACTTTCTCAACAAAAAAAAAAAGCATACAAAAAACACACAGCACCCTAAAAATACACGCGGTATCATATAAATACACAAGGAATCCTAAAAAAAAAACAAGAAAAAAAAAAACAGGCTGCATCCTAGAAAAACGCGCTGTCAAGGAGGTTTTTTCCCGCCAACAGCGCGAGTTTCATGTCTTCGATAACGCTTCGGCGTATTGTCAGCTTCGAGCGCGCATGCGCAGCCTGTAAGCACGGTCGAAGGCAAAGAGCGCCTTTCTGGAGGCTCGGCGTCCAAGAGGGACGCCCTGGCGTTGTCATTCTGCCAGAATACGGTTTAAGAATTTTTTTTTTTATTATTTTTTTTTACGTAATATAGAACAGAGCAGTTTCACTTAGCCTTTCTCGAACACGTTTCGCCGAAGTTCAAGGCCTCGAACGACGCACGCGGGAACATATATAATTCCGGCTTTTGTTCACATTGACGTAACAATCGGCACACACCCCGTCTATTCGATCGTCAAATGTTTCGCCGTTGAAACTTTTCACTGCTGGACTACGGAGGTGTGCAGTTTAGTGATCTCCGGTTAATATCGCATCGACTTAATTTCTAACCGGCTATTATGGCACTTCGTACGAGCGAACTTACGAGGTCAGAGTCGATCATTTAGAGTGACCAGAGTTCTTTTTTTAAGTTGTTTGTGTTTATAGAATTATTCGTTGCGATACGTAAAGGGCACGAAATTTTAGGCGAGGCGTCTAGGTGCGCCGGATGGCTGACGTCATCTTGCGCGGCCATGACCATCGGTATTAGAAACGACCTCAATTTTTTGCATTAAAAAGCCGCTTTTTTTTTTCTTTCGTTTTTTTTCTTTTCTACTTTGTCTACACTTACACTATCGAACATTTGAGGCGCCAGAAGTTCCTACACAATGTACGCTGCAGTTTGTTCGTGTTCGCGTGAAGGCTAAAAAAAACAATAAAAAAATTAATAAAATGAGGAAACTTAGCAGCTCTTAGAAGAAGAGAGGTAAAAAAGGTTCCTTTAATATACCAGGAAAAGAAAAGTTGCCAATTTTTTTTTTTTTCTTTTGTTTCTTTGATGGCGACAACTCGTTTCGACTCGGACGACAAAACTTGGGTTGCTCTTGTCTTTCTTAATCTTCCGGGGACCGAGCAGAGAACCACACGACGACCTGTCGCGATGTCCTTGACGAGGCTTTCGTAACCTGGGAAAGGGTAGATTCGGCAGATAAATCGTGAATTAATGTCCTTTTCTGTCTACTTCCGCGGTCACTACAATAGTCCGGAAGGAGGCGTGGGCAAAAAAAAAATCTAAATGATAAAAAACAAGAACAAAAAACAAGATAGAACAATGAAGGACCTTATTGAGTTTGTCGTGGAGTCCCGTGTTTAAATTTCACGTTGGTGCGATGGTGTTGGTAACAATATAAAGGGTTCATTTTTCAAAGTTCGTGGGAAGATGATTCCTCACCGTCCCTAACATTACTATGTTAGTTTATTTATTTGTTTATTGTTCCTTCAGGGCCCGAAGGCATTACAGAGGCGGTGAGAAACAATGTAGTAATACAATTAAAAAAAGGAACAAATTAGGATAAAAAAAGAAAATACTGTTTGGACACACTCGTCAAGAACATGGTTAGTTAACGCGGATTTAAAATGTCCCAAGTCCGTGACGGAAGTAACTGAACCGGGAAGGGGGTTCCATTCTTGGGATGTACGAGGAAAAAAGGATTGAATGAAATATACTTTTATGAAATGAGAAGAGGCGTCACACTTCCGACGTAGAAATAAAGGTGTGAGAGATAAGGTTGCTTTCATATTCGTGACACTAGCTGTTGAGTGGAAAATTAGGGAATATGAAACGAGCATATCTGTCTCGGATGGTTTCCAATGCATCAATGAGGAAGGCATACTCGGGATCCCAGATTGATGCTCCATATTCCAATTTAGATCGAATCAGGGTTTTATACCAAGCTCTAACTCTGACAAAGAAAGGAGTGAAAAGATTGGAGGGATACGCTGAAGGGCAAACGAACGTAACCATCACCTCGTAGATACTACAAAGTACATAACTTTCTAGATAGACGATAGTTAAATGGTCCAGTCATTAGAGATAACAGCTAAACGGTCCAGTCATTAGAGATAATAGCTAGGAATATATACTGTCCTAAGGGATGTTACCTAGAAGGTACTGTGATGAAACGACATGACTTCATATTTTGACGTTACAGGCTACGTGGGGGAAAAAAAATGTCAACCCGCGTGCAAGGCTGAAAAAAAAAAAAAAGCACAACATTTAGAGGTATTAATTTACTTTCAAGCTGCGCCCAATGAATTTAACGGACTTTTTTTTTTTTTCGTGTTTCTTTTACACCAAATACTACATTCCAAAGGCAAAAAGAAGATCCATGGAAACATACCATCATATCGTTGGTCCGCTTATTTGAAGGGTTTTTCGCCGCCCGTGTGTAGCGTTCCTCACAGGTATGTATGCTGCGAACGCTGCACCCTCGGGGTCGACGTTCCTTTTAGAAATGAAGCAGATTAGAGCTCCTTGACGTGGTGCTGCCAACTGTGTACTAGGGTTCCCCCAAAAGCCAACGCTCCGCGAAC